GGGCCTTTGTCAGAAAATCAGCACTGTTGTGCTGCTGACACAATTTATGCAGTCCTGTTTGGATTAAGGTGGGTATTTGCCTTTCTATTTAAGACGTCTGAGTTTTGCTGAACTCACTTCTCTGCAATCAATCATGGCTAGGCTTCGCGAACGAAGATTTGGGAAGGGCTCTACCCACGTTTGTTACAAGCGCGCTGGTGGCTAAAAAGGCCAGTATGAGATAGGCACATCCAACTGCAAAAGGCACAGCAGAAAGACTCCTTAGGTGGTAAATTCAGCAAGACACGGTTCTTTCTGTGTTGCCTTTTCTCCTCAAGAGTGATCCTGCGTGCGTTCTCAAAGGAGGCAGCAGCGTTATAGACGGTGTGTCTCCAGACCTCCCGATTGGAGGCCAGAGTAGACCAGTTATGTTGATCAATATGGCCGAGGCTGAGATGTTGTTTCAGGGAGTCCTTGTATCTTTTTTTTGGGGCTCCTCTCTTGTGGCAGCCAGTGGCAAGTTCACTATAAAGCATGATCTTGGGGAGGTGGTGGTCCTTCATCCTTGAGACATGCCCTGCCCAATGCAGCTGTGTTCTCAGCAACATGGCCTCAATACTTGTGACTGCTCCTTATTCTAGAACAGACGTATTGGTCATATAATCTGACCAGTCACTTATCTGCAGAGATACAAGAAATCACTGTCAAACTTTAGTTCCCCTTAAAATGGAGTTAAAAACCCTTACAGGTTTTGTAATGGAAGCTAGTGCCAGTTTTGTCAAATGTCCTTGTATCTCTGTGTACGTGTTACCTTGACAGATGTTGAAAAGATGCTGTTAGATGGAGTTCTGATTTCAATGAGTTAAATTAGTAATTTCATATTAGGGTTTTTTTTAGCATTCTCTAATTGCATTCAGAACTAATTATGAGGATTAAATCTCTGTAAGAATACCTACAATTTATAACAATATTTTTAGAGTAAGAAGTTCCTGCAAAAAATGTATAAATACACAGTTAATGGAAGGGGTGCAAAATGTTGTGTTATTAACTGCAAAATGTATTGGGTTGTTCTTTTTTCTTTTAAAAAGCGTATCCAGTATGCAAAAACAGACTCTGACATCATCTCTAAAATGCGTGGGACTTTTGCTGATAAGGAAAAAAGAAAGGAAAAGAAGAAGGCCAAAACTCTGGAGCAGTCAGCAAATGCACCCAATAAAAAAGTTATCCAGGTAAGCTGCTTCTCTGCTTAAAAAAAATAAAAAACAAACACAAAAGCTGTTTTAAATATTTTTTTCTCAGACTTAAGTGTTGTCTTTTGGTACTTTTCAATTCCTAAGTTGGGGTTGATAACTAGTGCTCTTGAGCACTTGCTAGAAGTTGAAGGAGAGTGGACTGATTGTACAGTCCTTGCTGTTCCTTTTTTTTTCCTCCTTTGCTATTACCAGATGAAAATAAGGATGTAGGGCAAAGGTACAATAAACCAAAGTAGAAACTAACCTCTTTTAAGAAAACAAGGAATGTGTGCTTATCTTTAATGCCAGCTTCAAGTGCTCAACCAGCTTTTCCTTCAGTGTTTTAATGCCTTGATTGTCTTATAAGCACGGTAAGAATGGTAAATGGGAACAGGAGAATTAATTCATAGTTAGATGAAAAGGAGTGGGCTTGGAATATATCTCCACGAAGGGTTGGCCTGGCCTGCACTAACAACATTTAGTAATTTTTGTGCTGAAGTATAGCAGAAAACATCAAGGCATCTGACCAGCTCCTCCCAGTTTATATACTGGGCATGATGTTCTGCGCTGTGGAATATCCCTTTGGCCAGTTTGGGCCAGCTGTCCTGGCCATGCTTCCTCCTAGCTTCTTGTGCACCTCTTCACTGGCAGAGCATGGGAGACTGAAAAGTCCTTGATTTAGAACAAGTACTACTTATCAACAACCAAAACACTAGTGTGTTATAAGTTTTATTCTTGTACTAAATTCAAAACACAGCACTGTACCAGCTACTAAGAAGAAAATTAATTTTGTCCCAACTGAAACCAGGAGTCCTAGGCCTTCATTTTCAAAACTACTTCCTCCCTCCCTAACTGTTAAATCAAATTTTGTAATGTGGAGAAATAGTTGACTCAGCCATTAGTCAGACCAGATACTACTGATGTTTTTTTATTTTGATTGCCTGGTTTTGGAGCTCAGCAAAATTCATGTGCTTTGTTCCCTTTGGGAAGTATCTTGTAAGCAACAAATGTTCCTTGGATTGTAGCTTAAAAAAGCCTTAAGATATGTCATGAGTTGTATAGAGACATGGTGATGTGTGCTGATATATTTCTAACAGAACACCTTTGTAAAGTTGTTTTGTACTTATTTGCTAGGGAGCAACACCAAATTCAGCCAATGCTCCAGGGACTGCACCACAGAATCAGGTAATGCTTTTTTATTTTTGTAACTAAAAGCACTAATGTTTAAAATTATTGTCTATGAATAATAGGTTTGTTACACAGGGAAACTTGAGAGTATATTCTACAGTTTTCTTTTTGGCCTGTGAGACATTTGTTTTACAACTAAATCACAGCAAACAAACAAAAGAAATCCCCCTTTTACTATATCTGGTTGACAGGAAATGAGAATCTGCAATTTCTTATTATTATACAGAAAACAGCACTTGATTATCAAGTCATACTGGATTCTTAAATTTGGACTGTAATTAGTTTTAGTTGAAGGATTCTTAATTTTTTTTCATCGTTAATAAATTCCCTTTAAGTTATTTTATTCTAGTAGTAGATAGGGAGAAGGAAGACAATACAAGGTGCCAGAATATCTGCCTAAAAGCTTCCTTTCAGGAGTTTGGGGGTCCTCTGCTTACTTTTTTCTTATAAGTGTCTAATTTTCCAAAGGATTGTGTGGAGATGCAGCAACAGCTCCCTACACTTCACTCATCTCGTCTGCTCAGTGACCTTCTAAATGATTCATGCGTGTTAGAAATGAGGGTGCTAAAGAGAGCAAATACTATGGAAGAATATCTTTGCCTGCCCTGCATCTCTTTCTTGAGTACTGTAATTGGGAATTGCATACATCCACAGGGGAAAAGTCTTGCTCCCACTCTGGGTTTTCAGGCACAATATATGTACATCAGTTCACATTGAAGCACAACACTCTCTGGGTATTTGTTTGAACTTCAAAAGTTTATTTTCTAATGGCACTGCCTGGAATATTTCCATCAGTTGAAGGAGGTTGTTTTGCTGAGGCTTTAAATTACTTGGCGCCATTATTAGGATGTTTGAAGTTGTGTCTTATAATGTACTGGATGACTTGGAGATTCCAGTGTCAGCAAATGACTACTCAGCCTTGTGTCTGGGGGGTGGCTTCAAATTCATATCAGCAGGCAAAGTTTTTAATCTAATGAGATTTCTAATTAATAAATTTGAATTGAGCACTGTAGTAAAACCATGTGGGTTTTGTGGATTTGGGTTGCCCAGAGATATTCAGTATTTTGATAGTACTGTGGATGAACAGGGTATTCATCTTGGCTTCCCACTGCTCTTCTGGAAGGATGTGAGTTTCCTAGGTTCTTCCACTGCCACACGGGTGTCTTGGACAGCACTTCAGCCATTACTTGAGCACCTGGGTGTGGAGAGTGCTGCAGTGTCAGCTCTTGACTTGTTGAGTTTAAATGTGACATCTAAGACAACATGTTAATGTGATTTTTGTGGAAATAAGAACCTCTCCAAATTAATATATCACTGTAAAAGCCAATGAGCTCTGTCTGAAGGTCTTGTGAAGCCTAGCTAGAATGTTATGAGCAAAGCTAAGGGCATGTGTCTTGGTTCAAATAATCACGCAGACAGTTGCAGAAGAATGGGTAACTGTGTATAATCTTCTGAACTTTGATCTTCTGTTGTTGCAGGTGCCTGATAACCCACCAAACTATATCCTTTTCCTTAATAACTTGCCTGAGGAAACAAATGAGATGATGCTGTCCATGTTATTCAATCAGTAAGTTTTGAATAGAGATGGCTTGTCCTTTGAATTCTTCTGTTACCTGCGTGTGCTTTCTCAGCTGGCAAGCTGACTTTACAGAAATAAGAGTTTCTTCTGAAGGTAGTTCTTTGTCTTACTGCCAAGGTTGCAGATGTCAGTTCTGATGACTTGGTTCAGGAAGCAAATCACATCTTTTTCATAGCTGGTTTTGATTGTGTAATTTATCTGCTATCAATCTGCACTGGGTTTAAGCTGGTGACTTTAACCTTAAAGACTTTAGGACTGCAGGAGCAGTTTTAAAACTAGCTTTGATTGCTCCTGTATGAATACAAGACTGATTAAATTGCTTCCACCTCAGATCCTTAATTGAGGCATAGTTTCAAGGACTGGACATGTAAAACCCTTCAGTTTAAATCTTTCAGTAGTAATAACTATTGCTCTAGTAGATGCTTCTGAAAAGGTCTTACTGCTACTGAAGAGAGATGTATTATCAAGCTAAGAAACATGATTTGACTCTCACCTTGTTTTACAGGTTTCCTGGATTCAAAGAAGTTCGCTTAGTGCCTGGGCGCCACGACATCGCATTCGTGGAGTTTGAAAATGAGAACCAAGCAGGAGCTGCTCGAGATGCTCTCCAGGGATTCAAGATCACTCCATCTCATGCCATGAAAATCACTTATGCAAAGAAATAGCTGGGTGCTCCTGTAAAGGAGTTCTGTGAATAGGTTTTTTTTTTTTAAATGATGATATTTTCATCAGCTGCCATGTTTGCTGTTCTCTGCAAAAAACATAAGACTCGTGCAGAATTGCCACAATGACCAGGACAGATGTAGGATTTCCACAGATCTACTGGATAGTAGCTTTTTCTGTTGAAATACTAATTTTTATAAAATAAAATATAAATATACTGTTTTCAAGCCATGTTTTTTCCTCAGATTTGTCTTAATATTGATTAGCCTTGCAGGGCTTTATTCAGTTTAACTACTTTTAAGGTGACACTCATTTCTCAGAAGTAGGTGCTGAAAAATAGCTGTCCTTCCAAAGCAGAAAGTGTGATCAGGAATGCTAAATGCCAGCGTATTCAGAATAAATACAGCACTCAACCTTCAGCTTCGTTATCAAGGGGACAGCTGCTTTTCAGCAAGAATAATTTTGTCACCTAGGAAAAATGACTTATCATTAGCGAGTTTTTTTCCCCAGTGGAAATTGCAGTTTGACACCACTGTTGTTCAACTTGGTTTTGTCTTGGTGACTGGCAGTAGAAGCAAGTCCCCAGAAGAAACATAAAAGTTTTTAGACAGACTTTTGCAAAATACCTATTCCTAATGCCTCTGGGTTGGTTAGGTTTGTTTTACTTTATGCTTTCTCATTTATTAAAAACCTTGCAGGTCTTCTGTAATTAACACTGGATGCAGTGAAGTAATCAGATGTAGTATTGTGAGTTGTAACTGCTCTAAATGTTTTGGTAAAAAAATCACTCAAAAAAGTTGTAGTGTTTTGTATGTGGCAACATAAGCCATTTTTTTTTGCACAAGACCTAAAAAATTGAAATTTCATCTGCTCCCAGAATATATTGCAAGATGATACCTCTTTCGCAATCATCTCAGTTGCTGACCTGTTTCCATATACAGATTTTTTCATTCTTTTTAGTGATTTTGTATGTGTTCTAATACTTGCAAGTTAAAATTGTTTCCATGTGCCTGTAAGGGAGCAAAAATGACAGTTAGTCCATCATGAACCTTTTGGTTTTCCTTCTGCAGTCATAGTTCTATAGGTATTAATTATGCTGTCATTGCATCCCACTAGTTTGTGTACATGAGACTGCCATTGCTTTTCACATTTATTCACTTCCAAGGGTTTGGTGCTGTCTGCCAGCAAAGTTGGATACTACATATCGGAATTCGGAGGAAGGAGTAATGGGCTGGAAGGTTAGAGGAGAATGTGGTGAAATCAGCTGTGAGGGTAAGGTGATGCTAGAAGTTGCAAGATGCACTGTCTTTAAAAGAGAGTGTGGGATATTTGATGACAGTTTACAGGTTCTGTGGTTCTGCCTGTGGGCTGAAAGCTGGTGCAGCCAACAGCTCTTCAGGCCTCCTCATGAATTGGGAAGCACTGGTTCTCTGGAGTGCTGTTTAGGAATCTCCAGACTTGCTTTTTGTCACATCTAAGGACTGATCCAGACCAGCCTTCTGTAGCCTGACAGCCTGTGCTCTGAATTGCTGACAGGACAGCACCCACAGCAGCTCTGGTGGGTGTTCCTTTTGTGTGTGTGCGTGAATGTGTTTTCATTAAAATACTCCCTACAAGTCTTGCTTCGTGTATGCTAGGACAAGATTTGGGGAAGGTAGATGAATTCCAGGTGTCCTCTCCAAGGTTTAAAGAGGACATTTTAAGTCAGTTTGTGGCACCATTTAGTGTCTTGCATCTGCAAACTCTGTAAAAAGAGGGAAATTGTTGCTGTCCTGGTGTGACCTGTGTGTTTTACTGTGACTGCATCTCCCTGGGGGAGGGATCTTACCTGCACAAGTATGTGGTGCTTGAACTCTTAAATTTCAAATTTGAATTGCTGACTTGCAAAGCCTTTTTCCTGCATTTCAACTCCCTAATGGTTTGCTTACATCGCATCCGTCTATTAGAGTCCCAGTAGGTCCTTTCTGCAGATGGAAATGGGAATCTCTGCCACTGAGGGTTTACAGTCCAGCAAAGTTCATGCTTGTCAGTGAGCATTTGCAAAAATGAAGGACAGGAGGATTTGGAAGGATGTAATTTCCTTCGCTGCTTAGCAGGGTCTGACTTAATTTCCATTTTCAAACTTTGCTTGAGGTAAGATTAAGGCTGTAGACAAGTCTAGGAAGGCTTAACCTATTTAAATAATACAGTTGATGGTTGAAATGTTAATGCAGAATGGCTTTAGGAGGGGATTCAGTTTTGTGAGTGGACCCTGAGATCTTCCCCCTGCCTGCGGCTCCTTTGGTGGGGTGGAATGTCACCCCAGCCCCTTCCCATTGGCCCAGTGTGTTTGTCCAGGTGTCTGCCTCTTCCATAAAAGCCTGGAATCATCAGACCTTGCACACATTCCTCAAGTGCTGTGGCAAAGAATAATGACACAACGTGTTTATTTAGTGGTTTTACTTTTGTGTCTCAGCTTAATGTGTCCTCTTGCAACTGGAATTTTTATGGACAAGCTTTCCAGCAAGAAGCTGTGTGCTGATGATGACTGTGTCTGTAAGTAAATCTGCTTTAATTTTGAGGACAAAATAGTCTCAAAAATAATGGTGGAGTTTGGATGTGTTAGAGAGAGGTGAAAACTACTCTGCTTACTTAGCTGTGTTACATTTGCATTGGCTTGTCAGCTTTAATAGTAGAGTGGGAGGGTGATGTGGAATGTCATATATAATTTTACTGCAAAGTGGGTTTTTAAAGGACATTTTTCTTTTAAGTGAAAGTTAAGTGTAGAGAGAAGGATTGTAACTTTCACTGTGATGAAATGGCACAATCTTAAGCTGTTACTTCGCTTACTGTAAAATAGCAAAATGAGCAGAGCAAATTCTTTAAGACTTACTGATTTCAAGATAACCTATTTTTATCTGTGGAAATAGTTTTACCTATGTGCATAAAAGCCCACATGTATTTGTGTTTCTCTAAAATTATCCATGTATTTAAAAACGTCCATCTCATTCTTTTGGTGTTTTTCTTTCCTAGACACTATTTCCCTCGCCAGAGCAGAAGAGGATTATAATGCTTCAGACTGCAGATTCATCAATATTAGAAAAGGGCAGTTGATCTATGTTTACTCAAAACTAGTGAAAGAAAAAGACTCTGGAGAATTCTGGGCTGGAAGTGTAAGAGGAGATTCTTGTATATATGAACAAACTAAAAGTAGATTAACACACATTTCTGACAAAAAATGGATGCTAATGCTAAGCTATTGTGGAGTTTAAAACAACAACTTAGTTTTAAAAGTGAAAGTTTAAACAAACAGGTTGAGGAGTCTTGAGGGCTGTAATATTTTTCTTTTTTTAAATGAAATATCTTCAGTAGCTATATAGTAATTATGAACTGAATCTTAACAGAAGGGCTCAACAGTTCTTTTCTGTGGCTGTTCGCTGAAACTTTGGAGGATAAAGCTTTTATCACAGTTGGTCATAAAACTCTTAAAATTTAAGCGAAGCAAAGATAAATATTAACTGCATTTACAAAAAAAAGATCCAGACAAATTACAAGCAGTATCAGTTTGCTCGAGCTTTGTGCCTGGTTTGTTTCATATGCCAGCTGATTGGAACCTAGGAAGTGTAAAACCAGAGTAAGAACACTACTTTTGACTAAACGATAAACCAGCTTGAACCAGATGAGGATTGCTTTAAGGTACCTAATTATACATCTCCTTGCTTGAAGGTTTATGGAGAACAGTATGAAGACCATATGGGGACAGTTGGTTATTTCCCTAGGAGTTTAGTCTCAGAGCAACATGTCTATCAAGAAGCAAATAAGACTGTTCCTACAACGGTAAGGAATTTGCAAAAGCCAAGCTGGCTACATAATTATACTTGGCTATGTAATGCTAATTTGCTGTAAAAACAAATCATGATTGTGGCAGTTGATTGTAGCATGTCACAGATGCTTAGGGATGCAGTCTTTATACAGGCAAATAGCCTTGATAAAATCCCTAACATAAGCTTTGATACTGCAGACATTACAAATGCTGGAATAAGGGCTTCATCCTATTAGAGTTCCTGTTGATTGGATAGTATTCCTTCAAGGCCATGTAACTTTTACCCAAAGCTTTCTATTTTAGAGCCTGGGTATTGTGCTGTGAACTTCAGTAATGTGTAAAAGTGTGCCTTCTGTTAATTGTACATATAGATGGACACTGCCGTACAGAACTTGTGATTGCTGAGAGCGTGTTTGCTTTCCATGACAAAGTTAATGGTATGTCAGAAAGTTGAATTAAAAAGGTTTCGGAAGCACAATAGTGTTCTGTGAGTAAGTAGGCTGCATTTCTGAAAGGATGGTTTTCCCTGCAGAGTAGGGTTTCCTATACCGTAAAATTTGTATTTTTACTAAATATCTGAAGCACTTCACAGAGGAGTGGAAGAGGAGGGTCCTTTCTTCAGAGGCTGGTATGGTTTGGCTTACAACTAATGCTTACTAGTAGCTTATTTCTGTGTTTAAGACCGATTTGAGTGGTAGACTTACAGTGTTTACCTTCATCCATACTGAATGTTTAGCTATACACTGTTTTGCAGCATATGGCAAAATACAATTAGTGTGTCAATCTGGATATTGGATCTGGAGTCTTTAATCCTAGGTCCAGATTATTAGGTGGATCTGATTAACACAGAGTAAATAAGTGAAAGGAAGAATTTTGTGTCAGGTTAATAGTTGTGAGGATCTGTGTTACAATGTGTCAGACAAGTTTTATTTGAGGAAATGCACATCTTTATCCAATATTTATCCAGTGATTGCTTTTCTTGACACTACACCGGGTTATTCCGAATTTGTCCCAGAAGCTTTGCAGAAATTAATTAGTCAAAGAACATGAAAAGATGACTAAAGTATGTTTCTAAGCTGTTTTCTCAATGGTATGAGAGCCAGTCTGCTGCATGGCAAGCTGAACTGAAAGCAGAGTAGGTTAAGCACTGCCTTGGCCTGCAGCCTGACTCAGGGTCCCCAGTGGAGTCCTGTCAGGCTGCAATACTGAGTTTTAATTGGAAAGTCATTTCTTTCACGAAACTATTGACGCAGATTTCCAGTCCTTTCACCCTTCCTTCACATTCTTGCTGTGCTGGAACATTGTGAGGAAAATAGGAGGCAATACAGAGGTGCTCTTCATGTCCTACTGATCTCAGCTGTATGTTGCAAATGGGACCTTCAGGATCTGACTCTTTGTTCACATTTAAAACAGTCTATAGCACACCTTGACCCATCTGTGGACCTGCTGCCTGCTCCAGAAATAACCCTTAAAGGAGCTGTTCTACACAGAACTAGTGTTGCACACCTCCACAGATGCCACCAACCTTCCATCTGCAAGTTGGGAGCCAGTCTTTTGCTCACAGCTCTGTAACCTTCTCTCAATGTTTTTACCTTGTTTGCAATGTTTTCCCCAGCCTTGCACCTGCAAAGCCCAATATTGGTGTGCTCTCTTAGGAAGGGGTTCATATTTATATAAGGAGATCTGGTGATGCCCAAAGCTTAACAATAAATCAGCATCCAGCACCTGCCCTGATCAAGGCACTGGATGGCAAAAACCAAATGGCACTGTGTGAAGAAAGGACTGGTAGGGAACTCAATGGGGAAAAATATTGTGGGGAGCACCTGAAGCCTGATAGAGAACATCAGCCTGGGGGCCTCTGTGTCTCTGACTCTCCTTTGATTTTTTTTTCTTTTTTTCATCCCCAAAAGTAACTTTCACTGTTGGAGTCAATGCATGCCATTAGCTGCAGACCTTGCTATAGTAAACCTGCCTGTGAACTTCTCTCAGCCTCCTTTTGTGCAGCACTTGGGTAATCCATGCCTGTCAGTTGCTGTTTGAGCAATAAATCTTAGGAGATTTTTTTTTCTCAGTGCTGCTACTTCTGAACCATTGAATCAAATTGAGTACAATGGACTGAGCACCACAGGCCGTGTGTACTACAGAGTGGTGTCAGATTGCCTGCCTTCCCTCAGTCACTTAAAATTGGCCATTTGCTAGCTAAGATGAGAGCACTCTCATTACCAGTAAGCAACTGTTCTGCAACAGATCCCTGTCTTCCTGCACGCAGTGGGCAACTATTTGGGATACACTGAATGGAAATGAGCACCACAGTGTGATAATTCCACACAACAGAATCAAGATCTGTGTAGGCATTTAAGGTAGTAGCAGAAAGGAAGCAATATGCTCTGGAAGTCTATTCCATGCCAGAAGTTTTCAAACAGAATATTGGCATTTGTTTTCTAGTCAGCATTTCTCCGTAGCAACTGTACTGCACAGCCTCAGTCTAAGTCATCCTTTTCATGTGAGATTAGGAATTGTTTGAGGATAAGGGGTTACATATGACTAATCAATCCAGGTATGGATGTAGAAACACAAAACAAAAAAGGGAGATAAAGGAATCGTTTGAAATGAAGAGAGAAGGAGGTATTGTCTAATTAATTTTAAGAATTCAAGGCAGGAACAAATCTGAGCTATGGAAAGGAGTCAAAAGACAAAAGGCCTGTTTCTTTTCCAGAATGCTTTGAATATATTATGGTGTACTTTGCGTATATTATAATGTATTCTGTGTTTGCATTTACTTATGTACCTTCGGGGGGTGATAAAGGAATGTTAATCCTTCAGTAATCTCAAAACATCTTTTAACTCTCTTTTTCAGGACATTGATTTCTTCTGTGAATAGCACTGAAAGCAGTCAGGCAATCTTTCAGCTGCTACCAGGGAAAGCTGCTGGGAGGAAACCGGGGCACCCTCCCTGCACACAGAGTTCTGCCCATAATAGATGTTTGTGGAACAAGTAATCTTTCTCCAAAATAATAAAATTTTCATTTAAAGAGAGTGATTTGGGATAGGGACCCAGTCCCACATAGGATTTGTTCTTTAGAAATTTTTTTACCCGCATATGCTTTGCTACTTGTTAATAAAGATGATAGCCTTTGAATTGCTGTAAGTCTCTCTGGTATGACTATGCATTGAATGGGATTAAACTGAACTCAGATCTGCTTCCTGCATTTCACATTTTTAGGTGAATGTTTTTTGGAAAAACACAGCTTGGCATTCAAACCCCTCAGTGTTCATGCTGCAGTGTACCTGGCTGAAATAAACAGGAGCTGACTTTCAGGAGGAGAGGAGAATCAATACTATGCTAGGGGGCATTGGAGGATGCTTTTGATTTTCTAGAATCTTTCTTTTTCCCCTACAGTGATTGTTGTCCTTGCAGTTTCTCTTTGGAAATCACAGCAGTTTCACCATTATTCTTTCAGTCATATGTACATTTGACAAGATCTCAAGGTCTGTTTCTGTTCATTTTATCGCAGCATAGGGGAAACATAAGCACAGCTTGAGGTGTGTGTCAGGTTTGCATTTTAAAAAAGTTGTGTAGAAGTCTCAGTGTGGCCTCGAAATGCACTCTTAACTCATGGCATCTATTTGTCTGAAGCCAGTATTAAGTTTTCAACCTCAGGCAGGGATTCAGAAGCCTTTAAACTAACCTGTTGTGTACTTTTCAACAAGGATGTCTTTGAAGAAGTGTAATACTCATAAGTCATTACCTTAAGTCAGAAGCTTGTAACTGAGCAAGCCTTCCCACTGCCATGGGTGGGAGCAGCGCTGTTCAGTGAGCGCAGGGTGACATCCAGCGGCTGGCTTCTGCCTGGCTCTGGGAAGGACTCCGAAGGCTAGTTAGTAGCATCACAAGTACACTCAAGCTGGGAGGGTCCTCGGGGTCTCCTACCAAAATCAGTGTCACACCGAATCCACATCAGAGCACTCACAGATTTGCTCAGTCTTAAAAACCTCCAAGGACGCTGGGTGACTCATTCCTTAATTTATTCTCATAGTGAAAATTACTTGCTTTATCTGAAACCTGTTTTGTTTTGTTTGTTTTTTAAATTTTGGTCCATTGTCCCTTTTCCTCCACAGAAAACCTCAAGTAAAAGCCCAGATCCATCTTCTCAATATGCCCCTTGTAGTTCAAGGGGAACTATTTCTTCCCTAGGCTTGAGAATTGCAGCTTACACAGCTTCTCCCATCAGGGCTGGTGGACCCTGCCCAGCTCGTTCCTGAACATGCTCTAGTTGCACAGCAGCAGGCCAGGTTTCTGATTTGTGGTGTTAGTAACAAGGAGGATGACTGAGTTTCAGAAGGATTCACACATGCTTATCTGATTCTCACTTGTGACAACACTAACAATTCACAGTGTAGATTTTTTTTTCTAATTACATACAGTGCTGTAAGCATCTTGTTATCTACTCTGCTAACAAAACACATGCCTCAGGGCCTATGATAGATGACAAGGAGTTCACTCAGAGCTTTCCTGCAATGTGTTTCTTCCACAGAAAACATGTTCTTGCCACCACAACTTTGTCGTGCCAGTGCACTCTGACAACAACAAGAGCACTGTGTGTTCCTGAAGTGTGCTGGCCCTGTGGCAATGAGGCAGTGCTCAAGATGCCTGCACCCACAGTGGTGCAGTGGTGTTACCAGTGTGTCAGCCAGCTCTGCACAATAAACTTTAGTGACACAAAACAGCAGGCAGATGGTAGGTACCAAGTTCCTTTCCACCACAGGTTACAGCATGAGGGTTTTGGTGGAGGAGAAACAACATCCCCAGCTGCCCTGGCCCAGAGCTAATGAAGGGCTGATTGCAGCCCTGACCGAGATCAAGGGGGGATGAGCAACAGCTGCTATAAAAAAATCACCACCTGGGCAGAGTGAGGGTGAAATTAGGGGATGCAAAGACAGATTAAGGAAGGAGAGGGGCTGGCGGGGTGGGCAGATGTAGGAGAGGGTGAAATGTGTTCTGTTATTCTCTGTAACCCAGAGTACTTTTTTTGAGCTGGCTATTGCAAGAAAATATCTGTCTGATATGAACCTGAGACTTCTTTTGGCCTTGAAATTTAGGATTCCTTGGTCTGGAGTAGCCAGGTAAGGAAAAGAATAAGTTGGGGCCTCTGTTGATTCTCATAATAGTGCTTGCTACTAAACTAGTCCTCATTTATATTTATTTACTGGAAATACCTTATTTAAACTGAAAGATAATTTGTCTTTCTTTCCTCTTCTCTGGCAAAGGAGAGATGCTTTATCTTCTGTTGGCTGACACTGACCTGTCTGCAGGGTTTTTTCCCTTACAGCCTCCCACTTCTATTTGGTTTTCTTGAACTAGTATGGCTCTGTCACCAGTCCCCAGAGGTGACTGATGGGTTTATGGAGCAAAATGGCTTTTAGGTTTAGAAATGGCTGTTTTTTTCAGGGGTGGGTAATGAAAACTGCTTTGGGATGGATGAATAGCATTGTCACTACAAATCACAAGGAGCCAGTGTGAGGCTGATTGTTCTTCCTGCTCAGACTGAAATTACACTGCCAGCCCATGACAAGCAGAAGCTCAAACTATATGGTATTGGGTAAAACTGTATGAGTATTAAGTAAATATCATTGAATATATACATACATATATATATGTATATATATATTGTAATATTTGAGTTTCTCAGCATTGTTTAAATAAATGTGTGAATTCCTCTGAAGACTGTAAAATGCAAAAGGACACTTAGTCTTGAGCGAGTACACAAACTGTAAAGCTTGTCTTACGTGATAGTGTGGTCAGAATGCAGCTTAAAGACAGCTCTCCTGTCTATATTGTAATGCTTTTTTCACACGTTCTATAGCAAAGCACTGCCTGTGGTCAGGCCCTCAAGCAGTGGCAGTGGTGTTAAGATTTGTTAGAGGGCGAAGACTTTATTTTTTTTTTCAGGTGGGGAAATGCCCATAGAAGGACACTGGGTTTCACTACTGTATTTTTGCCACAAGGGTGTGTAAAATTGTTTAAGTGGGTGGACTGGGTTTGTAGGTGTAGTACCCAGCTCTACTCAGATTAGATTTTTTTCCTCCCATATGGCATACCCTTTGAACAGCAGTGTGGAAGAGAAGAGCTGCCAGTCCATCTGTTAGTGGCTGTGTTGGAGTATAGCCCACACCAGTGAGTATTCCATTATAAATCTACCAGTTTCAGTGATGTTTTGTTGGCTGGAGATTGCTTAAGTCCCAGGCAGACTTTCTGGAAGTCAGAGGTGGAGAAATTCCTCTGCATGAGTAATAACCCATGGGTCTAGGCACTCAGCTATGATACAGGGAAATTCTACCTCTAATTGCTCGTGGTTGTAACTCTGGCTGAGTGCATCCTACTTGTCCCCACTTCTGGAGGTTACTGGGGCAGCTATTGGTGACAGAAGGGGATGGTTCCCAGTTCTGGTGCAGAACAGAGAAATTCCTTAATTAAAAGTTTCCCAGGAGAAAAACTCTTACTTCCTTCAGAGTTCTAGTGGATTTTGGAAATCTTTGAGAGAAATATGGGTCAGCTGTTCCAATGAAAGGCTTCTTGTAGATGTTGTAACTGCTCTTCTCTTTGGAAAGAGTAACACAGCTTTGTTTAATCTAAATGCAGCTAGCTTGATACCTGGGGTGTTCTTTAGGCAGTTTCCAGCACTTTATGCTACAAAGGGTAAAACTGCTAGCACTGCTCTGATGTAGTCAGGCTAGTTTAATATACTGTACAGCAGGTATTGATCATGGTGCCAGCCAAAGCCTTAATTTCTCTATATCTTCCTTCACAAGGAAGTGGATCTTTGTAATATGTCCACACACCCTTTTCACTTGACATATAACTCATCTTACTAAAATTAGTATTTTAGCCTGGGTTTTGTGATGGGAGACACTGAATGGGCTGTGACTCAAAGCAAGAACAACATCGTAAATGTAGAAGCGTACTAGCAGATGAAGTTTCCCGGCTCAAATGGTACCAGTGGGGGTGAGAGAACTGTGTACTGAAAGAAAGCAGTAGGAGATGGGATAGGAAACTGGTGCAGAAAGATGCCTGGAGCCTTAAAAGACCTGAGAAAGGCAGACCTGACATGGAAGATGGTCCAGACAAGGGGAGCAAGGCACAGGTGATGTAGCTTGTGCTTTCAAGAACACAGCCATCCTGTGTTAGATGGTTGTGTTAGATTAATTTCTGCACTCCCTGGACCAGAGGTGATGTCTTTGCATTTAGTATCCCTGGAAGAATTTTTTCACAGCTTTGTGTCATTGCTTTGTGAAACTCATCCCAGACACTGTAGCTTAGCATACCTGACTAGTTCCACTTTGTGTTGCAAGAATACTCAACGTGTAACAGACGTAGTTACGTGTGCAAAGTACAAACACGTTGTTTCAAGCTATGGATGTGGCTCCTGAAAGCTTCTTGGCCACGTGAGTGTGACATTGTCCCTGGTGTAATTAGCCCTGTCTTTCAACTCAACAGTTTTTGCAGCGCACAACAGTGCTGTAACTCTAATGCTTGCAGCCTATTTCTAGCTAGCTCAAGGGTCTCTTCCTTATGCTGCTTTTTGCAGTGTAGGCAGACTTTTGGATCTTTCTGTTAACTTGGGAGAAAAGGTCAGAGTGTCATGGCCCAAGTGCTGTCTTTTCAGCAGGAAAAGCTGCACCTCCAGAAAAAACCCTTATGTCATTAAACTTAATCAATAGAGAGAAGACAGCATAATCTCTGTCCCTAAGGCATTACTATCTCCTTCCCTGAGGGAGACACGGGTTTCTGCCAGAACAAGTTCAATATGCTTTCATTAGCTTGTGATTTGTTTGTACTGTAGACTTGTAAGCAAATGCTACATGTTCTTAAGGGTTTGAACTGCCACTTTTTGTGTTGAAGACAGAGTTCTGTCCTAAACACTGTTTTTTTGTTTGGTGTATTCTTTTTTTCTTTTGTTTTAAGGGTGAGAAGCAAGTGCAGGAGGAAGTAGCTATTCAAGGATACTCAGAACAGCCATGGGCAGGAAATTACTAAGTCTGTGGTTCAGGCTGTTAAGCCAGGTCATCCTTTGGTATTTACAGCCTACACGTGTATAAAGTCATAATGTGCTGCTGAGCAAATTTAGGTTGTGTTTTC